CAAAATAAACCTTTCCTCAGAGTTGTGGGTGTCTGCTATTGTGTCTCAACAATGAGAAACTAACTAAAACAGGTGGTAATATAAACATAACACAGGAGGAGTTAAACAGGCCCAACACCTTTAAAGCTAACACTTCATTAAAGTGATATAACAGATAACCCTCTAGTGTAATTTTACTAAGGTACAGAAATTCATCGAATATATCAATTAGAATACTGAAATAAGATCTACACAGCTTACTGCTAGAGAGTAAGGTAAGAAATAATTACAAAACCATCTTTATCATATGGGCAGCAGAATATATCTTAAGATTCTTCCACTTATCCTCAAGTTATGATTCTAGACTTTGAAATAAGCAATAATTTATGGAGTGAACACCAAGAACTGATGCAACTATGATAAACTTAAATACATCTGAATCTAAACAACTTTCAAGCTGGGGATTTAACTCAGTGGTTCTGCTGCTTGCCTCACAAGCACATGTACCCTAGTTTGATCCCCAGTACCAAAAAATAAATAAATAAACAACTTTCAAGAACAGATAGTTCATTTTAAAAATTTTGATTTATAACAGCAAAAAGGGTCAGTATAAGATTTTTATTCAAGAAGAAAAACTTCCTATGGTATTTCTGAAGGTCAAAAAGAGATTCAGTTCAATCTTCTGTCAGCAACGATAGACTTTTTAAAGTAGTAAGTGATGTGTTATGATCACTCTGAAACATTTCAATATCAGCAATGAATAACAGAAGTGTTCTAAGTATATTTACCCCTTAGCACATTTTATCATGTAATATTTCTCTTTTTTAAAAATAGGCAAGGCCAGAAGCTAACGTAAAAATAATAATTAGGCACCCATTTGGGCCAGCGACTTTATTCATACATATTGCTACTAATTTTCATAGCAAACTTCCAAAATGAGTTTTATAACCTCCACTTTAAAAATAAAGAATTAAAATGTGTTGTACATATACCAACTCCCAATGATGAATATAATCATTATGTACTGCAAACATGCACTAATAATAATTTAAAATTTAAAAACAAAAAAATAAAAATAAAAGGAAATAAAGTATGAAAGTTAACTTGTACAAGGTCACAAATTTAATGCAGTACAAGTTGGCTGAGATAATACACAAGCATTTCAGACATGTCAGTTTATCATACTTTTTATATATTCTAAGCAACCTGTTCTTCAGTTGCTTTAGGCCCAGAGTGGCCCATCTCCCCCAACTAGGATTATATCTGAAATACTCAGTGTCATATACCCTGTAAAGTGTGACATCAGTCAGGACCTAGTCAGAGATGAGGTCATTTATTGCTTGTTTAAATACTACTTGCCAGGAATGCTAAAGGCAGAGTTTAATCATAGAAGAAACTAGACTAGCTAAACTCTATGGTCTCTTCCAATGCTGAGCTTCTGTTATTTTATACTTAAATCACATCTGATGGACTTTATGCTAGATAGTAAACTACATTCAAATTACTAAGAAAAAATTGTAATTTTATTTTATTTTACTTGTAATTTTAAAGAATAGAGTAGAGCAATTTTAGATAATTTTGTCCCAAGAGAAAAGGATCAGATGGCCGCTCTCCCTTACCAGTCTGTCTCAAAGTTATTTTCACCTGTAAGAGATACATGTTTCACAACAGTCTAATAATAAACAACATACCTTTTTAATGTTTAAGTGGTAGTACTGTATATTTTCAATTACATGGGAGGCAAGGGTGATTAAAATGTTTCACTTTTTAAGAACCTGTATTTATTATCTTTTAAACTAACAAATAATTTACACATTTTTGGGATAAATTGTGAAGTTTCAATACATGTACACAGTGTATAATGATCAGAGCAGGATAACTAGTATATCCATCACCTTATACATTCACCATTTCTCTATGTTGGGACATTCAAAATTTTCTCCTTTAGCTATTTTGTAGTTATTATTTCCAAAAAAATAATATGAATGTTTTATAAATATTGAACCTTTGTTTTAAAAGATTTGAATCAGTCTAGATTAGGTGCTTGTACTAAAATGGAGGAATTTGCTTTTGTTTCATACAGTTGATTTTTACTCAATGTCTTGTGTTGGAGAAACACAGAGAAGTAGTTATCTTAAAAAGACTATTTTTAAGTGTGATTTAAGTATTTATATAATGTAGTCTTATAGGTATATTTATAACCATTTACATCTGCTATTTTCAGAAGCTCTAAAACTTAAATTGTGATCTATTGCTGTTTAATATCAACTTTGATACTCAGTAAATAATTATTTTAGTCTACACAGCAAAACACCTTGTTAGATTTTTTTCAATTTGACCGTGGCAGTATTTGTAATTTACTTAAAGACCTCATTTATTTTGCTATTCTTATTGGTAGTAGGTAGTACAATGACTAGTTTATGCTTGATGAAACCAGAAAAACATGAAGAAATTTATATAAGGTAACAGAAGAATCCAGAAATAGGGTCTGGAATTAAACAATGGATATAATTTTGTGCTTACATGCATACATCAAATTTTGTCAGAATAAATTCTTCATGATTTTTAGTAAAAGTTTTAAGTTTGTAATTCACATATGTCAATTTATATGATGATTCTCCTTGAAAGGGCACCATATGCTACACATAACAAAACAAGTTTATTTGTGGTTAATTCTCAAGGGTCATCACATGCTTGATAAACACTTTATAAACAAAAATCACAAAAAGATGATATGACTTAAAACCTAGACTTTTTATTATTAAAACAGATGGGAAAACATCTGGTATATTCCATAATCTCACACTACACAATATCACGCTTAATGTCACAGAAGATATCAATTTCACAGTCCTGGGTCAGTGTCTAAATTTCAGGCAATGCCATTCAAGCAAATTGTGAAAGCTTTAAATACCTGTGAAAGGAAAGTATTTTATAAAGAATAACAAACATCTATGGAATGCTTTGTAAATACTGTCTTGGTTCACCATCATAACTTTTGTGGTAAATACCTTCATTTTAAAGATGAGAACACTGAGGTTCAGAGAGATTATCTTGCCTAAGGCAAAGGGCAGAGTCAAGATTCAAACTCGGGTCTGTCCCATTTCAATGCTGATGCACCAGGTTACCTTGTAAATAGTTAACCACCGTTTTTTAAACAAGGATATTAAGATGGGGGAAAAAATCAAACAAGCACATACTTGTTGGTAAGAAAAAATCACTCAGAACTTCCCAAATGGATGTTTCTTCCAGAGACTTGTCACTGACTTCACTGTTTCGCAGGTTATCTTCATTTAGAGGCACGGATTCTGAGAGCCCTGAAGAAGAAATAAAATTATTAATCCCCGCATATATAGAATTCACAATTTTAAATGACCTTGTAATAGTAATAAGCTTTGCTTAATTATGGAAAGTCTAATAGCTAAGATTTCAATCTTACAACAGCTGAGGTACTAATAACCAGAATGTGATTCTTCTTTGAAACTGAAAAAGTATTAAACTTACAAATGCTTAAGCTACAGGTTGACATGTCACTGTTGCCCTGTAAACTAATTTATATTAGTACAATTGCCTCTGACAAACAGCTCTGACATTAGAGGTCTACTAATTGGCAAGCAAAACAGTATGAATTCCAATTAAATCAGAATCCATTGCAGAAACTCTTCACTTATATACTTCCTTATACACTGATAAAAATTAAGTCCTCACATACAGTAAAACTTTCTTACCCTTCTTTCTCACTACTTTAAAGAACCTATATTTAGTCTTATTTGTACAATGTTCTCCTATATAAGAGGAAAATAAAGCAAGGATTTGTGTATCATTAAATATTTTCTGGCATCACTCTATCCATTATATGGCTAAAATATAACTATTAATCGTGTCACTATAGGAAGACATTTAGGTGGTCTGCAATTTGATATGTAAAGAACACTACAGTGGCTATCACTATTTTGTGAAGGTTATTACTGGACCTATATTATTTTCAGATATTCATAAAAAAGACCTCTGGATAAATTCTTAAGGAATGTCTCAATGGTGTCCAAATCACTCTCCAGCAAAGCTACTCCAAAGTATACTTCTACCAGCAAGTACAGCAAGGGTCAATTTTTTGCACCCTACCCTTTTGTTATTTGCCAATTTAACAGCCAAAACAAAATAAAAAAAATTTTGTTTTAATTTGTACATTTAGTAACCAGTGAGCTTACATCCTGCATATATTTGTGTAGAATAAAGAATTTAAGCCTTAATCTGAAACATGTTTCAAATATTCTTTTAAAGGTAATCATTACTTTTGTATTTACTATAATATTTGGGAAGATTCTAAAGTTTAAAATCTTTATGTAAATTATCTATCATCTCTTATTTTATTATTTCTGCTTTTCAAGTGATGTTTACAGAGACATTCTACACTCTATTCCATTAAAGCTTTTAAGAAGTGAAACCAGCTTATTATGAAATAAGGATACATTTTCCAGGTCTCCAAATAGCAGTTACTGACTCTATCCTTTATATTTTTATTAATACATATTAACTGTACCTATTAAATGAGCACAATGTCCTATTTCAACACATGCATACAGTACTCACTGATCAAACCAAGGTAAATAGCATTTCCCTGTCCTTTATGTTTGAAGACTTCAAGTTGCTCTCTTCTAGATTCTTATAAAATATATAATACAATATTGTGTGCGAAAGCAAAAAAAAAAAAGAATCTAAAAAACTGTAAAGAAAAAATGCTTGGTGCAATTGTGTGGCCACAGAAGCTAAAGATACTGAAGTAATTCTTGAATAAATCAAACAAAAGCCATTCTTTTCTCATTATATCATCATCTTTGAAGTATTTACACAGATCTGTCTTGACTTTTTGTTTCACAAATCTATGTTCATACACAATACTGCTGTTATAATTTTTTGTATGTTGCTACACATTTGAATGACTTATCTGACAAATATTTCACTAGTAGTCTTTGTTATCAAAATTTTATGCATCAAGATGAAAAGGTTTTAAATAAGCTTAAAACTATTTTCTTAAGTCAAAAAAATCCTAACAAATTTTTATATGTTCATTTATCTAGTATTCATTAAAAAACTATTCATTGTGTGTCCTTTATGTCAGGCATGAATTCAGTTATAGTCATTTAGGAAGAACTGATGACTTCACAAAATTTCTTCACTTAACTGTTTTGTTTCCCCATTCAATCAAGTCTCTTTTTATGACCCTGTGTAAGGTTTTATAGTTGCATTCACACAGGTCCTACATATTCTCCTATTTTCTTCTCAGGTATCATAAATATTCTGTTGTTATATAACTATGGTCAATTTCACTGTATTTTCTAGCTGATCACTGGTATGTAAGAGAGCTATTGATTTTTCATGTATTTTTCTAACCTATAAATTGGCTCTTATTTCAATTCCAATCATATCGCCACTAAATATCATTTTGTTTCATTTCTTTCCAATATTAAGAGTGCATTTGTTTTCCTTCTCACATTGTACTACCTAGAACTTCTAAAGCTATGCTGAATAACAGACATGATAATAGGCATTATTGAGTCTTCCTGACTTATATAATGTTACCTGCCGATGTAAGGTAAATATTTTTATTAAATAAAAATTATTCCTCTAGTCACAGCTTATTTCAAATTTTGTGCTGTTTGAGTTTTAGGCAGTTAGTTAAAACAAGCTTTGACAAGACCTCTGCCTGCACTGCCCTTTGTTTGCTCAGTGCTCCCTCCCACAATGGACTATCCTTGTTGCCACATGACTGGGCACCACCTGAAGTGCTGGCTGGGAGCAGCACATCGCAGCCTGAGTCTCCCTTGTGGTGTCTTTCCCAACTTTCACTCTAATTCAGAGGGCCTTGGTCACCAGCCCCCCTATATCTGATGGGAAACACAGGTTGCTGTGACTTCTGTCAGTCTTTTCTGGCCTTGTTCTTTCAAAAAATCCTCCAAAGGGGTCACAGGGAAGGGAGATAGGAAAAAAAGAAGCAAGATATGTCAAGCACAGGAACAAGTTTGCTATGATAATGTGATCATTATCTATATCTAAAATGTACCAATAAATGCTTGGCTTAAAAAAAACTCCAAATTTCTGACATACAGATAGTATATGGCAATCTTTAAGGTTTTCCAGGTTTTCATCATTATAGATCTTTTGGTAATTTCAATAGGTATTTGAAATGGAAGAGGCAATTAAACATCTTCACTCATATAAGCAATACCAGTGGCGCTCTGAACAAGTCCTGAGCATGTTTAACTGGCCCTCTACCTCTTGTTTCTTCTCTACTCTAAAACACAATTATTTATAAAGTAACCTGAACGGTATTTCTCAAAATTTGGTATGAGTACCATAATAGTATATGTGAATTTTAGGTGGAATACAAATGAATACCTACAGATGTATTTTTTCTATTTATGTATTTATTTAAAATTGTAGAATACATAATAGCACATCAAACCTATCATGATACATAACATAGGTAACGTTATTTTCCATATGTAAAACCTTTATAAATGCCCCTTAAACATCCTGCCCTTTCTTCCCCAAGGTACTGTCTTCTTGCCTTCACACTCTCTCTTCTCAATCTCCTACCAGTCAGGCAGCACACAAATCTTTTTCTCAGATCTTTCTCTCCAAGAAGCCTACAGCCTTTTACCCCTCCCCTCCGTTACTTTTCATATGCAGAATAATTTCATCCTCTTGGCCTCAAATTTGCATCCTTCCATTCATTAGCATGCTCCACAAATAAAAGATTTTTAGGAGTCAGCTTCTTTAAATGGCAGCAGGAAATGGTAAAGAACCAATTATGTTTCCCTGTCACAAACTTTTTTTTTTTCCAATTTCCCTGTTACAAAATATAAAGACTAAAACTCAAACATTTCAAAGAAAAACCAGATTCGGTTCAGAGGGCTGCATGGTCATGTGGTCTGAGTTGTATAGGGCCCCTGCCCTTAGAGGTACCACGTGCTTGGCTTAATGTTCTGCTACTGACATCCTGAAATTTGCAATACATCTCTAACAAGGGAGCCTGCGTTTTCATTTTGCAAAATATTTGGCCAGCCCTGCTCTAGGGAAAAAAATCTGTAAGAAGTGGAACTGAATGACAGCAGGAGAGGAGACGGACTGAGAGCTAATGGCATCCATTTTGATAGGGATTTGTTGGACATTATGTCGAACGTCTGCCTATGGTGATCCCTTTCTGGGCCTTGGCCTTAAACAGACCTGAATTTGCATTGTGGCTCTGTCACATAATAGCTTCAGTTTACTTGTTTATAAAATGGGAATAATGTTTATCTTGAAGGATTATAAGGATTAAGTGAAGTCATGTAGTGCTCAGTGCAACGTTAAATGAGTAAACACTTTCCATTGTTTATTTTTATTGTTGAAATTTTTAAATTTAATAACATTACTTTGTTTTTAGGATATTTATTTTGATAAATACTCTATAATTCTCCAAATAACAAATACAACCAACATTCCATTTATAATGTTGCAACAATTTGCTTTTTAAAATGAGTACATTTATGTAACTAGTGAGATATTCAACATAATAACAAAAAAAACTACTTACTGAGTTTTGTCAGTGGTGCTAAAGCAATTAAAATATTACCTATTTGTCCATCTGTGTTTCTCATTTTAAAAATTTCCTCTGAAAAGGATGAGCAATAAGAACTGACTCAACAGATTACAGAGAATTGGTAGAGGCACTAGGATAAAACTCCCTATCCCCAATGTGTTTAGCTTCTCAAGCTTCATGCCACTAGCCTGTATGCCTTCTGTATAAACATGACCTGAGAAGTAACATGACTTGGAATCCAAATGACTATAAATTGGACATATCCCAGGGTTACCTTAAATCACTCTACTTTGATTCCTCTTGGTGGTATTAAATCCAAGAGAAACCTGGGCAGAATGGTATACAACTATAATCACAGCTACTCTGGAGGTTGAGGCAGGAGGACAGCCAAGTTTGAGACCATCCAGAGAGCAACTTAGCAAGATGATGTCTGAAAAAAAAAAATTTTAAAGCTACAAATGTATTTCAGTGGGAGGCCCTAGGTTCAACCTCTAGTACTGATGAAAACATTCTAAGAAAACCAAAGGTTTATCTAGGAATGAGTGAAAGAATTTTAGTACCAGGACCACTGTCATAGTTACTTTTTTCGTTGCTGAGACAAAAAACCCAACACCCAAATTTAGAGTGGGAAAAGTTTTAGCTCAGTTTGTAAAGCTTTCAATCCATAATCAACTCCTTCCAAAGCAGGGTGGCATGGTAGAGGGACATCACAGAGGAGAAACAATCCATGGGATTGCTTCTCAGCCTTTTGGCTAAGATCAAGTGTAGAAACAATCCATGCTGTGGAAGGGCCCCAAGAAACAACCAGTAGCAGAAGCAGCAGCAGCCAACAAGCAACAACAGTTTCTTTCTGTCCCTTTATAGTCTACCCAGGCTGGAAACCTATTGATTAATGCCACCCACACCCAGGGTGGGACACCCTTAATCCCAGCATCACACACTCAATCCCAGCCAGCCACCTTCAAAAAGCCCCACCTATGACCCACATGGAGCTTTGGGGGCACATCTAGATACAAGCCATAACAATTCCATACTCTTTTCACTATAATTCTGCAGGGGCACGGTCAAATTATTTGATCTCTTGGTTCATCTCAGTGTGACGCTGTAACAAAGGTACCATATATATCTGGGGAACATAACACAAAGTTATTGTCTTGCTCTCATGGCTAGAAGTCCAAATGCAAGGTGTTAGTGGCTTGGCTCCTTCTTAGGGTTGTGAGAGAAAGCTTCTCTCCTTGGCTGTCTTCTCCTTATGTCTACTCAAATAGGATTAACTGCTCATTATGAGCATCTGTGTCTGAGTCCAAATTTCCTCTTTACATAAGGACACTGATCACACTGGGTTACAGCCCACTCCAGATGACTTCCTTTTAATTTGATTACCTTTATAAAGACCTTATCTCCAATTAAGGTCATATTCTGAGGTACTACAGGTTAAAACTCCAATGTATTGGGAGGGGCATGATGCAAATCATAACACAATGCCTTTAGTTACAATAAGTGAAGTCATTTTAAATGCAAAATTATATTTACTCCATGTAGCCACACATTTACTCCTGAAAATCTGGGAGACCTGACAATATAAAGAATGACTCGTGGATTATTTTAGGAAAAACTATGTTACACCTATCATGGAAAAAGTCCTCATGGAAATGAAATTACACTGAATAGGCATTATTCTTTATTGCGGAAATTCTACTCAAAACAGAAATGGAAAATGTATAGTTTCATTTTTTAACTTGTTTTTCAGAGGATGAGAAGGCTCTCAGTGCTGTCCTAACTTTTATAAATACAATATCTCAACATGGTTAAAGAATACCAACAGTAAACAATATAATGGTGAAAGACTGAAAACTTTTCCCTTAAAACAGAGGCCCAGGGCCAGGGATTTAGCTCAGTGGTGCTGGGCCTGCCTCACAAGCACAAGGTCCTGAGTTTGATCCCCAGTACCAAAAAAAAAAAAAAAAAAAAAAA